TGGCATTACTGTAAAACGTTTCAATCTACAGCGACTGCTTTTAATTACATAAAATAAAGGAATGGGAAGAAAATAAGGAACAAGTAGAAAGTGTACCATAAAATATATTTTTCGATTCAGAATTTTTATTCTTCGCCTTATTTGTTTAACAATAAAATATAATAAACGAGTGATGTTGACGGGGCATGTAGCACGTATCTGACAAACGATAAATACATGAAAAGTCTTCTGTTAAACCTACTTTTGGGTTCTGGTATCTTGCCCTGTTGCCGACGTTTCAGAGGAACATACACCTGACGGCTGTATTAAACAATAGAAAACCCGAATCGACAGGATTTGATTACAAAAGTTTAACACGCCACCACAGAGCTACTTCGGATTATACTGTTATAGAATTACATTACTTAAAGAAGAGTTTTGGAACACGTGATTTATAAAGTTAGAAATTGAAGTCATTTAAGTAAGATAACAGACGTTTCATTTTACAAACAATTTTTGTTAATTACGAGATTTACAGGTTTCGACACATGCCGTAGACTATACTTTACATGTATCTAACAATTCCTAATACAAAAAAAGACAAGGCCCTGTATTTGAAACTATGCTGTTCTATCAACAATAAATATCTGATAAAATAAGTTACTAGAAAGATGACTACGTTTAAAACACACGTTCACATATTTTTGGTGATAATATTAGTGAAAATAATATAAAGTACCCAAATTTGGACAGGAATTTTCTCTAGTCTCTTTTGTGAATAAGTCGATAAGTAGGTAAGAGTTCATGAATAAATATTATGTTTAAATCATACGATCTTATGTTTTTACATCGTCTGCGATCTATTGGTATACTTGAGTTCACGATACTTCGATAATTCTTACGTAGTATAGATACGACACATTTGTTTATTTCAGCTAGGAGCATTCAGAATGCAAAGGGGCGAAGAACGTATCTACGAATTACAACACTTAAGTCTTCTTTAGATAAGCTTCGTGCTTCAAAGTGTTATAACAAAAATGCCAATGTAATCTCCACATTCCATATACCCCACCGCTAGGATACAAACTTTCAACCAAGCCATCAATTTCTCTATTACTCGACCGCTTTAATCTGCGGTCACAGTCTTGCTTACGACTCTTTCTTACTTTAAAACGTTTCTTATGCTGACTCATAGATTTTCCATTTTCTTATACAGTAGTCAAGACTTGATGAGAAACATAAAGCCGGCAAAAAAGAAGAAGAAGAAGAAGGGGTTGAAGAAGGAGACGGCGGGTGAAAAGAATGAGGGGGGGGGGTGACGCAAATGGAAGTCAAACCGCTAACTATCACGAATCTAATTTTCTCTTGAGATCACAGGACAAAGTTATGGCTTAATGCGAGGAGAGAACTTGCTTAAGATCCTGTATACTTTTCCCCTCGTCCTTCTCGCTCGTTTCTTTTTCTTACGTAATTTGGTGGTATATCAAGGAGAAAAACTTTTTTTTGAAAAATCTCCATTTGAAGAACATTCCCTTAAGCATAAAATGTGATTCACAAAGCCAGAGATCTGAAAGTAAGACAGAAATTCGATTCACCTACACAAAACTGCTTACCGAGCAGCTACATGTTCTCGGTAATGACTCTAGATGACAGAACTCTCTATTTTAAATGTGCTGCTACCATTATCCAGTTTTCAGGAGTGTTCTAAACGAGACAGAGACGAAGTTTTCCATCTGCAAAAATAGTTACAAAATGTACTTTCTCATTCTTTGGTGTATTTATTCTGTATGGATTTTTTTTTTAAAAAAAATCAGGCCTACAGCATCCAAATAGTAAGTTACTGTGAAGGGTGAATATATCTTCTTCAGCTTCATTTATCAGCTCATATGGACCAATCTTCTAATTCTCAGTTTTGTCATATTTCTGTTCTGTAATGTTTATACAGTCTGACCGAGGTTCAGAAAAGACTATGTCTCATATGGCAACAGCGTTTCAACGCATAGCGAGGTACTGCAACCTGTCAGGTCCATGTTACACACTACAATTTAAATGGCAAGGGAAATGCGTTTTAAATACGTCCCAAGAGTCTTATCGTGGACCTCGACTTGTTCGTAGATCCACGAAAAAAATAAATTCACTTATAAGATAGTGTAGTTGCGTCATATTATGACTTATTAAATTAAAATTAAATTATTTGGTTATTCCGTCAAATCACAATGTATTTTAATAAGAAAATTGAAATAATTAAAATATCATTCTGTGTTCCATATCGAATAATCGCTTTACAATTGGAACAGTTTACAACAAAACACAGTTGTGTCTGGAGGTGATCCAGAAGTATTACCGTATCCGATCAAGCTTTAGTACTGAATTGTAAATCGATTATTCGATATGGAACACAGAATGATATTTTATTTTATTTTAATTTTCTTATTTAAATACATTGTGATTTGACGGAATAACCAAATAATTTAATTTCAATAAATTCACTTGTGCAATTTATTGTACAGACATTTTTCATACAAACTAGAGCCCTTGAAATAGATTTACATGTAGATTAAATTCAATAGTTTCACTTGCGGTTCACTTTATATTTCTCCGGGGAGATTTACTTACAGTACAGTTCAAAGTAAACAAAATAATTTATTGTCCGTTGAGTTTTTCTTATCCACTGGCACACTTTATAAAACTACGGTTTGTCATTTTTAGCATACACAACTCTGTGAAGACAAGTCAGAAAATCAGCTTATCCTCGGACAACATTCTGGGCAAACTGGGAGGGAATCATACTTCCCACCAAGGATAAAGTGGTTAATGTGCCCTTACCGAATGCAACGTAACGAAATTATGGCTTAAGCTTTGGGCGCTCAACTGAAAGCCACCTAATATTTACATTTACTGCTGCTCAACTCATTCGTCCAGCTTTCTTAACCCAATTAGGTTCCTTTCATTAGTTTTCCTTTCTATTGAACCTCCTCTCTTTTAACCCTAAATTTTCTATTTCTGCAACCCTATTTCTTCTCATTCTTTAAGACGGTTTTATTTAATTACGGCTATGTGGACCCTCCAGCCTTCCCCCACAGCTTTAATTTCCTTCATCATAACCCTGGCAGGCCTTCAATTAGAACACGGCCCCGCATTTCTCTTTGTAGGTCGAAACTCCTACATCCGGTCTGACCAGACCAGTAATCACAGCAAAGCAGAGCCAGTAGAAGCACGAATTAGTTCTGCATGGGCCGGTCCGCGGAATAACAAGCCTCTGACTAACGCCACCAAATACGAAACCGAAAGGGATAAAGTTACGACGATTAATCGTCACACTAGAATTCCGATAAACCGATGTTGGTTACTTTCGTCTGTATTAACTAACTAACTAGGTGGCTTACCAAACCCGAAGGTTCATCACCGAATTAACCAAAGCCCTCCACCGAACTCTGCTAACTAACTAGATGGCTTACCGAACCCGAAGGTTCATCACCGAATTAACCAAAGCCCTCCACCGGACCCTGTCCTGGGCCAACAAAATCCAGTCTCCTTCAACTCCTATCTCCCATAGATCCCGTCTGAGATTATCCTCCCATCTACGTCTAGGTCTCCCCAGCGGTCTCTTCTCCTCAGGTTTCCCAACCAATACCCGGTGCACATCTCTTGTCCCATCCATGCGCGCTACATGCCCAGCCCACCTTATTCTTCTAGACTTAACCACCCTGATAATATTGGGGGAGGAGTACAGATTTTTAAGCTCATCATTATGCAGTTTCCTCCACGCCCCATCGTCTTCTCTCTTAGGCTTTCTAAACACAGATGCCAAACAAACTACGGTATGTTATATTTCAAAGACAGTTTCAAGTACTATTATTATTATTATTATTAAGTGTTCTGTCTTACGACAGGTCCATTGATCTGCCCAAACAGAGCTCTCCAGTTGTCCCTATTCTCGGCTTCTCGCTTTAATTCCTGGAACGTTAGTACGAATAAAAGTTAAACTAACCAAAATAAATTAGTATTTAGTTATAATTTAGCAAGCAATTGAAAGTATTGCAGTGCAAGCAATCAATTTCCTAAGGTTTAAAACATACGTTTACTGTGAACGTAATTAAATTACTGACGCTAAATCCGATATTTATTGCACATCCATTGCATTTGTGCTTTGATACTTGCTAAACATTACGCAATGCTGACTTACGGGGATACAAAGGCACAGCTCCAGTTGTTCTTGAAATAGGTAATTGGTGAAAGTTAGTGATCAGCTTCACGCTTCGTCCGATTTACCTCCAGGGAAAAAGTCTCCATTACCGATTGGATAGGAGGATGGGTGAGTCCCAGAGCCGGTCTTAACTCGACAGCTAAGAAATTAAACCACTTTTTATCTCTTGAATTACTTTCAATCTAATACAATCCCATGAAATCACTATCTGTCCCATTCAGTTACTTTCAATCCCATTAAATCACATTCAGTCACTTTCAAATTACACTCAATCTCTTTATATACGATTCAATCACTTTTAGTCCAATTTAGTAACAATCGGCTACCTTCAATCCTGTATAAACACTATCAATTTCAATCAAACCAAAATATTTTCAATACCATTCAGCCATTCAATCATTCTCTTACCCCTGCCAGGAATCAAACTCCGGTTATCCAGTTTGTAGTCCAGTCACTTTTCTGACTGTGCTAACCAGCTCGGGAAACATTCTGGAGAAGAGTTTGTATTGTTTTAATTAAATGAGAGTCGGTAGTTACCAAGAAAATTTTAATTTTACTGTGTGCAATGTCACAGATCTATCCTTCAGATCTACGCCTATCGTACGAAAAAATTGGTATGATATACATATGCTATTATAGTACTCTGCTTTACCGACTAGATTGCTGCCTAATGTTACAGCACTTGGAAAATGTATAATTAAGGCTGTCCTAAATTTCTAGAAAGATCAGTACAAGTTTCATTTGACAATTTGGTCCTTTCGCGATTAAGTTTAAACTCTTATTATAATAAATATTGTTGTAACTCTGTTCCCAGATCCCATGAATGCTACTTCGTGGTATGGAGGATGAGCAGCCGATACCAGGAGACGGAGGTTCGCCACTTCTTTCAACTGACAGGATAAACACCGTACCAAAATGGCGGAAGATTATAAAGAAGAATCTAAATATTTCACCTTGGTCACGTCAACGACAGGAATCACTAATGACCTCCAGCATCACAAACAAAATACCATCGAGGTTTTGGAAATGGCTTTCGATATTCAGATTTCGAAAACAGGGAGATGTGCATCATATGAAATTTCTGTCGGCAAAACATCAACACAGAATAATTTCGAGCAGTTCGACGGCGCTTGTCCACGTGATATTCCTCTTGGTGCTTGTGGGGAAGACTGACGGTCTCTGTCCTTCTCGATGCTCTTGTAACGACGAGGCACTGAGAGCGTCCTGCGAAGACGCAGGTCTCGAAGTCGTGCCAATCCAGCTGAATCCAAATGTGAAAACCATCAACTTAAGAGACAACCGTATCGGTGACGTCCACTTCACACTTGGTTTCTATTCAAATCTGCGTTCACTGGACGTCTCGCGTAATCGAATCTCTTCACTGGGGTCTAAAAACTTTGAACTTCAAGGGAAACTGATGAGCCTTAATGTGAGCGGTAACCAGATAGCCAACCTTACGAAATTCACGTTCAGTGGACTCAAGTCTTTGAGAGTGCTGGATCTCAGTGAGAATCTTATTGAATCTTTGGAAGGCGGCGTATGGGAAGATTCGCCAAATTTATGGGAAATGCATCTGCGTACCAATAAGATTATATCGATCGGTGAAGGTGTCTTCGATCCGTTAATTAACCTAAAAGTGCTAGATCTCTCAGACAACCAACTACTTGATGTACCATCGGGTGCTTTAAGACGATTACCATCTTTGGGAACTTTAAATATGAGCGATAATCTCATTGAAAGTGTATCAGGTGACGCCATACCAAATTTACGAGATTTAAAAAGTCTTTCTTTGGCATCGAATGTAATATCTTACATTCATGATGCAGCATTTGATGGACTCTTATCATTAGAGTTCTTGGACATTAGCTACAATAACTTAAGTGTAGTTCCAAAACAACAGCTATCGAAACTGGGAAGTCTAGAAGAAATGGACCTCAGTGGAAACCAATTCACGAGCATTGGGCCAATTGCTTTCCAAAGTCTTTTCGAACTCCGGCGCTTAAGATTGTGCAGACTTCCAAGACTCGAACATGTCGACGTGAGAGCTTTCGTTGACAACATAAAACTTCAGAGCGTCTCCATGGAATACAACGTAGTGCTTACCAACCTTCCAACAAGACTTTTCCATGGCAACACTCTTCTTGCTGACATCTCCGTCCGTGGTAACTCTTTCACACTTCTGGATGCCTCACACTTCCCTTTAGATCAGATGGACTCTCTGCTCCTGGCAGGCAACCCACTGCATTGCAACTGCTCCATGCTTTGGCTATGGATATTGGCACGAAAACAACTTGAGGCAGAACAAAGAAATGTAACATTCCTGCCTCAGTCTGGAGACATGTCACCGACGTCTTCAACAGTATCAACAAAGGAGCAAAACAAAGTTCTTCAGATGGATATTGATGCTATCAGATGCGCAGGTCCAGAAACTGTTAAAAAGCTATTGTTGGTTGATGTACCAGAAAAAGAGGTACGTTGCGACACGTCGTGGCTGGCTGTCATCATTGTTACCGTTGTCGTATTATCATTGTTTGCAGTGATGTGTGGTTTTCTTGTGGTCTTTGGAGGCGACAGATTTTGCAAGAAGCCTGACACACTCACAGAATTACCCAATCATCATCACCATCATCAAAATGGTGCCATGCTTATGTTGATGCCGAAAAAGGATAATATGGATGGTTTGGAGGACTTCATGCTGAAAACGAAGGATCCCGTGGTGAATGACGTGAAGTATCGTCATCAACACTCGTTAGCGACTTGGGACCCTATTAATAAAGGCATTCGCGTTCCAGACAATAGGTCTCTTGGGATGTACCAGAATCAATACAGTGTGAACGGTGAACAGCACAAACCAACACATATTGTTTACGTGTAGACTGGGAGATGTGTTAATCTAGCACAAAACAGAGACCCAGAGAACACTTCAATGAACGTTCAGATGGAAAGAGAGATGTTTAAACTAAACAAGTGGGTGGCCTACTGTGGAGGCTGGAACAGTTTCTAATGTTTCACGATCAAAATTTCAAATTAAGAAATTCAGCAGTGATAACAGATTCCAATAAAAGTGAATCTGTGGATTCTGAAGTCAAGGTTGTCATTAAACAAAAGTCTTTCTTTTTATATATATATACTGTGGAATGTCTGCCCTTGTAGTTAATATTAAGGAGATTAAAGCAACGTGAAAAAGGTCTAACTGATCTGCGTGACCAACATTACTATCCCGACTATCATTAAAAGTTTATCAAAGAAACTATAACAAATTTGGTTCGTACTTCCTTCATACGACTTAATGTGAATAACCAGTGAAATAATATTCTATAAATATAAATTGTAAGAATATAGATTATTTGCTGTTCAAACTTATGAGAAGTTCAGTGCAAGTACTATTTTCGGATTACACCGTGTTTTGGATTGCATACGTCATTTTCTGTTTCATTTCCACGAACGACAGTGCTTACTCAAAAGCATTTGACTTACTACATTTATGGATCCTGTTGTGTAAGACCATCTGCGAATGAGCAAATATGGTTAATAAGTATACTATATGAAACAATATAGGAAGTACACATTCAGACTCTCAGCGTTATTACATCGCCTTTAATTCCCACACTCATATTATCTGTATTAATAAACATTTTAACGTAATCATGTTCTGAAACAAACAGATAAATATGAGAAAGATTTTGTTATATTTCGTTTTGCCAGACAGTTAAATGTGAGGCTAAAATAAAGTTTCATGATATAATTCTCACGTAGATGCAAATGTTATGCGTCCTTTTTCAACTTAGTCACAGTGTATATGTGCTCCTCATAGTTCCGGTTCATTAATTTCTTGCAAGACCTCAATATTAAATATTAGTGAATATCCCTTATTATAGTGTGTAAAGAATAATCTTTATAAATACCACATATGGTGTTTATAGAAGCGAATGGTGCATACAAGTTATGGTTATTGATATATTCTTCGATGAGCATATTGCATTGGCTGATCTATGGTGAAGAATAAAATAAAGTCTTAACACTGATGCAATATGAAGCCAAAATAAAACACGAATTTGTGAATAACGTATATATTTATATATATATTAAACTGTGCAATATTGATATGTAAAGATGCATAGGTCTGACACAGCGGTAGTTAATGTATACCGACATTTGTATTGTTTATATATTAAAAAAGATTACTGTTTCAAAATTTTCTTAGTGCTTTTCGTAAATAAACTATCAAATATAGTTTTACCAAAGTCAGGTAATTTAATGTTTCTGCAGCTACGTTTTCAACCAATTTAATTTGAGTCTATTAGACATCTAAATACATCTAAAGAAGTTCTTCCCTCCAATTTACCTGATCGTGTATGCATGTGGTTGGAGTGAGTAATGTGCCTCAGAATGTGCATAAGTTTCTTTCGTAGCTCCTTTCAAATATTAATACACGATTATACTTCGAACGTAATTCAAATTCAAATCCGCAAAATAAAACTTACGTTCCAGTGACCACTCAGTTGGAAATCTAATACAGAAAACAAATTATGTAACAGCGATTAGAAGTCCTATAGCGAAATAAATTAAGATATATTCTGCTATTTGCTGTCCATTTATCAGTCCTCGTGTTTTAATATTGCTCAAACAATCTTCTTTAAAGCTGAATGCAAGGATGTTATTAAATATTCAACACATATGACATGTTTCAAAATGTAGTTTTGTATCAGACTGTGATTAAAACACAAGTAATTTTTAGTCATGAGATATGAAGAAAAATATGTAACTTGTCCTTGGTTCATACGCGCCAATGCGGCAGCAGATTATACAAAATATAACTAAACTGTGGATCGGATATATGTGGAACCAATCACTTCAAAAATACACAGAAATTAAAAACATAGTATTGAAATTCGGATTAAAATTTCGCGTATGCAGTAACCGCGTGGTTTTTGGATTAAATATAAATTTACGTATTTCACCACTGAAGCTTCTAACACTAAAGAGTTTCATTTTTTTATAGATCAATATAACAATTAAGTATTTAAAATAATTATATTGGTTCTGTGCATACATTCATTCACTTGGACAAATTAGGAAGTGTGCGTTCCTCATGCTCTACATTTATTAAAAAGGGAAATAGAATATGTTGCAGGGGAATTCGGATAACAAGATGACATTATAAAAGATTAGTCAGTGTCACTAAAGGTGACATTGAATAAACGTTTACTTCAAAATATTACCATTGTGTAATGGATTATAAATAATACGTCAGTCTTTATGAGAACGTGTCACATTAAACTAATCATCCTTCTACATGCAACACATGTTTCGACACAAAAGAAGAATGGCAGTTTCATTTAAACCTCTGGTAGTTTCATCATCAGGTAGGCCATCACATACAACTGTTTCTTAGCTGGAATATGTCTTAATCATCAAGGTCGAAAATATTTGGTTCATATCACCACTGGGACCCCTTTTACACCCTGGTAAGCTGTTGATTAATTTACATAATTTATGCAATCTTTTACGCTTTACGGTCTAAATTGGTAAGTGACAAATTCTAAAACTTTAAAATTCTAATATGACACAACAAAACCTAATATTACTATTCTTCGGTGTCTCAACAATTCCGCAAACAAAACGGTATAATGCCACCAAGACCAAAAAGACCAAAAGTACTATTATATGAATCTAAATGCAAAATTACGATTACATTATAAAATAAATAATAAACAATAATGCGTTTTATGACGTCTTCGCATTTCAACAATTTATAATTAACATTTTGATATTACGATTTTAACATTTTTGAAGCCAGGGATGAGACCACGAGTAACTAAGTTGTAAAAGAGGCCCTAATTGATGGTTCGTATGGACTGAAATATAGTGGGTATTAATAACAGAACTCAGCTAATAAATAGTTTTGTCTGATGGTTCAATTAATGTTAAAGCAACTGGATGATACGAACGCATGGAACACAAATACAAGTGCAATATCCCCATCGATAATTTACACGACAAATAGATAGTTTGAAACATTTTAAAAATAATACACCATTGCATAACTTTGTAAGAAATTCCAGATAATGATTATTCACCTTAGGTTTTGTAAACTAAAAAGGACGTTCATTATAATCCTAAAAATGCTCCATTTATCAAAGTTGCGTGTTATTTTAAGTTTGGAAAATAATCACAGTAATGTTACACTTACATGTGTATACCTTTTCCAGCGATATAAATACATTATCGTTTTATATGAGAAAATCATAATGCGTATGGGAAAATTAGCTTTTATATTTTGAATTCTTATTCATAATTTAAACCTTGACATTTTCTACATTAGCCCACTCAAAAGTGATGAAGAAGACTGACATCTTTATTATCCATACAGTGATTATAAATAATTTTCTTGCAACTAAACCTTGAGATCACAATTTTTGTAAAACATTAAAAACTGTGTTTAGGCCTAGATATAAAGCCATAGTGTCAATAATTTATATTTGTGTAAAACGAATAGTTGAAACGCATAATCACACAACTCTGTCGATTTTCTTCAGTAGCGTGATTGTCTTACATAATGATTATAAACTAAAAATACAATGTATTGAAATATTTTTAACAATATGTATTTTTAGTGTTTTATTGATTGATTAAAATTAGCAATAATTCTTGTATTTTATAAAACTTAACTGAAGGGTTCAGCACTTTAAAAAGATGGAAGGGGGAGCTTGCCTCAAGGAAGTCAGAATGTAAATGAAATCATATAACACATACAAAGTTTAATTTCTACAAGTTTCAAACAACATATGTAAACGTCCCGTAAAATTTATTTCCTATATTGCAACAATCGAGTGGACAAACTGAAGTTTGTATTATGTACACTCTTTAAATAAATCTTGCGTGTTCATAATCACAAACTGCACAATAGCATCAACAAACGGAAGTTAACACAATGTTAAAGTCACCTCATAATTGTATTGCTTTCTTCATAAAGTAAAATATAATTTTGAACACCCTGGCCTAGACTGAATCTTACGTAGTATGTTTCAAAACCTTTTCTACGACATGAATTGAAAACTACATAGACATTTAATATGTCGTCGCGTAAATAGTTCTTGAATAAAATTTCTTTTCAAATTTCAGTTTACCTATCTGTATTGTTCCTTGTAGTATTTTGAAGTAACTCCATCAGGACTGCCTTCAACTTACATGTCAAGTGTTGAAGAGTATTTATCCACAAAATATAAATAATTTGGCTGTGTGATAATGAGCTTTCCATAAAAGCTAAGCTAATTATGCGATATTTGAGTTCTAAATCGAAACTAAACAGATCGTAAGAAAGAGGCACACATATTCTAAAGCATAAATTGATAAATTTACATTTTCGCATTTGAATTATTTAGGCAGAAGTAAAGTAAATGTTTCAGTTTAACTGTTGTGATATGACGCATTTGTGTGGAAATTTTTATCATGTGCCTCGTGATATTTTTATAATATACCGTGTCTTCCTGTACTTCCGTCTGCAAAAGAAAGTAAAGTTTCTTTGCCTTACGTACTCTTGTCAGTATCCAAACAACCACAGATAAAGTGTTTGGCCCGCACTTAAACCGCAGACGATGGTTCAAAGGAAATATTGTTCCCCTCTTAATTCGTGAAATATAATTCTATTCGTCTCTTTTGTAACGCAGGAAATTTTAATATTTATGTTACAATTGAAAGTTTATTACTTTTCCTTTCTATATTAATGCTGCTACAAATAAAATGCATGCATATATATCGATACATATAGCTTATATTAATAAACGTCATACAATATGACTTAAAAAGGTTTGTAAGTGATATAAATATGTCGACACGAACGAATTATCTAATCTCATACCCCCACTTTTACCTTAAGAAAGAGTTATTCTTTGTTTTTTAACTGTTATATGATTTTCTGATAAATATTAAACACTACAACAACTGAACCAACAACTTAAAAGATACGAGTATTACTTCTAAAAAAAATACACCCGTATTATTTTAGAAATTACTGAAATAAATGAAGTCAAACTCGCCCTTCTATCCGCAATATAAGCCAGCTGATGATAATTAGTCGTGTATTATGCTGTGATTTTTCCATTTGTTCTTGCTCCAGCTCAGAGAATGTGTACCAAGCAATCTCGGTATATGCAATATTTATTGTGAAAATTTAACAAAATGTGTGACGATAATTATTTTGAAAATATTATATAAAAGACATGTAATATATAAGTATTATATAGACTGTATTACTTGGGTTGCATATTGTTAAGTTATATTGTAACTAACCTCTTTTTGAAATAAAATAATACACCAAGTTATAATTAACAATAATAATTTAAATTTATATGTATCTGATCTTTCTGACTACCGCCCTTCGAATATCCTACGTACGTAGGAACTGTCGCAAAATACAGATGAATACTGATATAAATAAATCCATTTTTATTACAGATCACTATGGTATAAAACATTTGCGTTTCCAATTACTGTTGGCGTAGGTTTTCATATGCACCATGGGATTGACTTTTTGGCAGCATCAGAATATTCCAAAAATGTAGGATCGATTTAATAGCCATTCTGATATTATCTTCACAGAGTTCCAGGGATAATTTACGACTCCTACTTTCAGTGCTTCAATCTGCTTGCCTTTGGTGAAGCTAGCAAGAAGCAGGAGCTAAAACATTTTGTAATTTAGAGATCCATTTCTGTTCACAATTTCCGATATTACAAATTCTATGATAACTTTATCATATATTACCTTAAAATTTTTAATCATCGCCAAATTAAAACAGTTAACACATAATAAACATTTCATATGGAATTTTTAGTTATCGGTCAATTTAGTATTGGTTACCATACAAAATTTTACAGTCACTTGAGCTAAAATTGTTTTACGAAGTACAAAACCCTACAAATTTCCACGTGTTTTCACGATGTAAAACACCATTTTACATTTTATAGACCCTACATTACTTTGCGTACAACATTGCTGGCCTCTAGTGGCATATTTTCGTACCAGTCTTGATTAATGTTCTGTCATTTATTTTAAATCTCTTAGTGAGACTATACTCGTATTCCCAAACAAATTATATGATGATACGAACAGAACGTCTTACTTATAAACTTCAGATGGGTTTTCTACTATAAATTATTGAAGATAATCATGGGTGATCTGCCGAATTTTAGTGTCCCGAATGATTTGGTCTTCTTATTTTAATTCATGACACTTTCTTAACAGCAATGATGACTGGAAACGATTTAAATGGAGGATGAATAAAACAGTAGTTGCTTATCTTACTATGCTGTGTCAGTATTAGTTTGTAGATACGGTGTCGAATGATCCACTTTAAAGCTATATCAAACGACTGTGGGCCGCGTACTTCGTAGTACACACCTCCTCCAATTGTTCAATGTGTCTACTCTGTGGCATGGTCTGAATACAAACGAAGGAGTCCGTTAATTTATAGCCCTGCTGGCTCACAGCCAGCCTACGTCGCTTCTTGGCCGATTTCTAGGTTGTCTTCTCCTGACTTATCCAGGCTCAGGAACATACTTATCACACAGGACGTTTCAATTTAGTACTGGTTTCAATTCAAGCTTCCAATTAGCAAAGCAACACACAGAGACAGTACGACTGGTCTGCTATGTTCTTAAGTCTCAGGTTCTACACATTTCCTGTTCAGATTAAATTCTCGATACTTATTTATACTGATAATTATTTTTTGGATGAAAGTGTCCATGTCAAGTACTGATAATTATTTTTTGGATGAAAGTTTCCATGTAAAAGTTCTGAAACTGTCTGATAAATCTTTTATCCTTCGTCATCCAGGTTGTGTTAGTATCACCTCTCCTTATTTATGCAGTTTTCTCAGAAGCATTAAAATCTCTTGTAGTTGACACACATGAATTTAGAATTCGGAGGATTATCCAGTGTTACGTTGTTTCAAATCACTTGTGAAACTAGCACTTCCGTACACCTTCCATATAAATTTCAGAAATCAAGTTCTAACGATTTATCTGTTATCCTCCTATTAAAATACTTTTCGCAGCTGCTACACTGCCATATTCCATCTTCAAAATCCTAAATATTACGTACGTATATTGCAATTATTTGTAGGCTATGATCAGAAGCAAACAATTGTAACGTTCAAATAAATAGAACAAGAGACCATTTAAAAGAAAACACCAGAAATTACATCACGAACACAAAAGAAATCAATTCATTTCCTTTGTCAAGAGTAAAAGGCCTGTAACAGGAGAGAACTAATAAAAATGTACAACACAGAAAATGTACTAAGATGAAACAGAGTAGAACAAAATTAAATTAAAACAAATAATCAGTCCAGACACTTTCCCCGTGTAGATAAAGTCAAAGGAGACATTGTATTTCCTAAAAATCTTAAATTACAGTATATTCCGGTTAAACTGGGAAACATCGGAACTAGAACACTCTGGCCCAACTAAGCGGTTGCCCCAATTATGGGAAAGGTTTGTTGTTTAAGATTTGTCCCAAATAAACGGCTGCCCCGATTAGCCGATGGCCCAATTAACCGGAACCTGCTATATCTCCAAAAAATCTGCATGTTTAACTTGTAGTAATGGCACACCTAGTCGAAGGACTGTGCCTTGAAACATTTTTTCTCTTCGTTTAAAGATCATGCAAAACGAAAAAAAAAAAATACTTTCATAAATTCTGCATTTAATATCGCATGTTTTACCTTGCACCCCCCCAAATAACAAAACCCCTTCCAATTAGAGAACTTTATAAACTACTTAGGCCTCTGGGTGCTGAGAATGTTTTTAATAAGCGGGACAGAGAGTTGGGGAAATGCGCAAACAGTCATTAAGATAAGACAGCCCCCTTAATACAAGACTAGAATGTAAACTGCATTTAATTTTAACAATTTTAACCAATGCTTGTTGTAAGATAACCATCAATGCCTGGCTAAAGTAAGACATTCTAAGTTTACTGCTGCGTGATGCGTGTAGAAGAAAGCTGCCTTAGGGCTACCTGGTAAGAGAAAGTGACCTTATAAGTGTTTTTCATACAGAAATGCAAGTATTTGAAATTCAAACATTTACAGAAAGAAATAAAGAAGAACTACAAAACCAATTCTGGCTCGAAAATAACAGTGTAACTTTTAATAATTAGGACTTATCATTGAATTTTATATGCCAACTTAAATAGTTAAAGGTGTCTGATTAAAATTATAGTCAAGTCCATATAAATAAATATTTGTTCGGCGTATTTCCTAATCAGAATAGTTTCAAGCAGGTGCTTTAAAGACATTGTTTTTCAACTCAGCTTTAGAGTATGACAGTAAGATGGTCCAATTTCATCAAGAGAGACTGTACTTGAGAGAAACAGCTACTTAGTTACTTACGTAGTCAGCTAATTAGTCAGTTTGTCAAAACTTCAGGCTGTCAAGCGCACTTATCCATTTACTTATGAAGACTGACACGTCAGCTCATAATGAAGGCCGTGGTTCGATCCTTCTGAGTTTCGCAACTCACGTCATGTCTAGTCATCGGAATAATAATAATTTGACAATATACGTACATTTATTGAGTAATGCTTGCCACTTATCCAATTCCTATAACACAAACTTGAATGAATGACGTCACTACACGACCTTGGAAAGTGAGGACCTTGTCAAGTTAACGTAACAAGTAATGGACGGTAAGAGACGGAGCACGTGCCAAGTCAGCGATCGAGCACTGATAATTAAGTAGCATTCAATGAAAGGCTGTGTGGTCGTGGAGATGCAACTACACACATTCTTGACTTTGGGACAAAATGGAGATGAGTGGCCGTATTCGCACCAGAGGCGTCGGCCATCTGTTGCCTTGGAGACGGGAGCTCTCCGGAGTAACAATCGACGCGATATCAAATTCTACTGGTTTTAAAAGTTCGTAAACAGGTCATTTACGGTGTATCAAAACGTTTCTGATGTAATTTCAAAAAGATGCAGGGATATTACTCGGTTTATGTTGGGAATGCGTTTAGAGAAACGACAGAAATAGAAAAAGATTTTGTCCTGGGTTATTCCTCAAAAGCAAATTATATCGGACAGTCAGCTTTAAAATAAAATGTATTCCCCTAATATTTATTTCAATGAGGCGAAGTTCTCTTTCAGAATCTGAGGGTTTCCTAGCTGTTTAAGCCATTCTCCCAGTTAACGAGATGAGAGAAGTTCGTTACGGCTTCCACAACAGCCTCCCCGCAGTATTGACGGCTGCCCCAAGCTATTACAGTCAAAATGTATTTACTTAAGACACCGTTTTAATATCATCTTTCCATCTACTTCTACGTTTCCAAAAATCAATAAAATCCTCTCGGGCTCTCAGTCGTGTCTAAATGTTTAAAATTCGCCGACGTTTCAAAGATCGTATCTGTCCCCATCATCGGCGCGTCTGGTGTCAGAACTGGATGCTATATAAACCCCGCAGTGTTAATTTCTCCGAAATTCTTGACGAATGCAGAATATTACAAACATATAAACAAAAATCACAAAGGATCGGTTTGAAAATACGTAATAAACACTGAAGCACGCCTTTTCGTCCTCGCTTGTTCTTCGTTAAACCGCTTTTGCACAAAAAAAACAATATCGTCCAAATTTGTCACATCCTGTGGAGTCACACCTACTACAATGTTTAAGTCGTGATTCATTCCGTTTCATGAAGTTTTACACATTACAAAAACTTGCAGCTGACTGAGAATGCAGGATACAATGAAAACAGAATTAACGTGGGACTAGATGCGCAGTTGTTGTGATTGAATTATTGTGGGTCATAGGTCACGATGAGTCAAGCGTCACAAGGAAGTTCTGATTAGTGTTTGTTTCGTTCTAATAATATCCGCCTGAACTACAGAAACGTACGCAAACCACACGCTACGGATATAGAACACATAATTACTGCCACAATTCAAAATACCGAAGCACACGGTGACTGAGACGGAGTTGAACTCAGTGCAGGATTAAGACAGAAGAACTTAGGAAATATATGCATAGTGTAATTTTTCGGGTGTTGGCCATAATTTAAACTTGGCACCAGTGACGTCAGAGTTGTCAATGGCGTTCACATGTTATGACGCCATCACTTAGCATTCTCCCTCCCCATGGCAACGAAGACAACCAACGTAAATATAATCTGCATTCATACCGAGCTATACCGAAAAAAGTGGTTTAACGCTTCTGTAAAGCGGTCGTAAAGATTGCCCTATCCAAATTAAAATTAAAGTGTCTCGGTAGTTTTTCTTAAAGTTTGTCGGTTATCGAGTCGATGTATTAGCACAGGACTGCGAGCACACTTATAAAGGAACAAGGACATGGTGCATATTCACAGAGATCATAACGCATCCCCGAACCAAGCAGATGATCAATTTTCAACTTCTGATTAATGTTTGTGCTCCAAATGCTGTTACTAGGGGTACATCACACTAAATGTAGATTTTCGACGGGACGTGCAAAATTAACTATACAAAGAAGGGTATTAAGCTACTGTTAAACAAAAAAAAGTTCATTCCCGTCAACTTTGACGGGCCATACTACGTTGGTACGTATAGTATCAACACCGCTTACTGGCGGTTACGAAATACTCAATTTATAATTCCTCCAAAAACACTACAACCAAGCTGATTCACGGGTAATCCATTGGTGATCACTTAGGTCTACACTATTCATATATTTCACAGCACTGTGGTAACTATAGTTACCACCTATTTTACGTTCAGTAACTGCAACTTTTTCACAATGTGTACTCACTACTTTCACATGATTTTCAAAATAAACAACAATTTTTTTCCCCTTAAACAGCATTAACCATTTGTTACTTTTAATAGATACGTGTCGTGTTTTCTTCGCGGTATCGACTGGGTTTTTAATGTTATTTAAATGAACGCCGTACTTTAAATGTTTAAACTACAAATATCTCATTTGAATCCGATTTGAAAAAGGCAAGCTTTTTAATATTCTATGCGACAAAGGCCATTTCACTTAAAACTACGTGAGTCCAACTGTCGGACAAACGGTGATTACTTAAGCTCCAACAGCATTACTCTATCGAAAGAGAATTCCACCTGCCAACTAAAACATCTGTAACCTAGAAACCGCAGAACAGAATAAAATAAAACATTGTCTCACGAATATGTCATAATTTTGACAATCATAATGTAAAATATGAGTATAGTCTGCTAAGGACAGTTAGTGTTCCCTCGGTAAAACCCTTGTACTGTCTGATATCTGAGTTTTGAAACAACAGAACAAAAACCTACAGAAAGGAACGAAGAATACGTAAAATGATATAAAGAAAGAAAATTAATACTCCCAGCCCACCTATACCTACTTCAGAGCAGTCGGCCGTATCAGGTAATTACAGTATTCAGCAGTGAGAAATACAAGATAGTAAGACACATTACTGCACAGATACGTCACGCGTGTGTACATACAATCAGTCACAAAGTTTATACTTCATTCACCCACTTAACACACGCTAAGCCCATTAAATTTTTAACTTAATCATGAAAAGTCACGTGGAGGTTCTTGTAACGTGAACCAATCAGTGTGTTTGATGCACTCACAAATTGTACTTCGACGAAATTCGGAAACGCAAATGCTCTGAAGTCAAGTAAAGATAAGAGTTGTGTGTGTTTAGGCACCGTGAAATAAGATGGTTTAACAATCCATGCATTTTAATCTCTACATCAGATGGATTAATCAGCTAGTTTTGCGCTCCGGTCGAGATCATTAAGTGGAAATATGAATTCCGTCTCTGCCTGGAGTCGAACCCCGCTTACTCAGACCGAATGTCTGATACTTTACAAAGTGAATTATAGGGTTCAAGTCATAACAAACAAATGGCATTTAAGATTTAAGTGCAATCCTAGTATAAACGTTGTGTAGTTCTGTTGTTCTATGTGGGGGTGTGACTCGTTGTGATGAAATGGCAATATCAGTAATTATGGAGATATACGGTCCCACCTAAATAAATGAATAATAAAAATAATAATTTATTTTGTTCGCGTTCAATTGTAACACTAAAGGCATTAACGGGATAGAATTTATATCCTACACGGTATATAATTCACAAGTTTTTATTTACCATTTACATAAATAGATTATTGTACAGTTATCAAAGAGTTTTCGAAATAAAAATAATTGTGTGAAATTCAGTACGGTGAATCGTATGATCAATTTTGTGTAATATATTTTATGATAAATATTAGTATTTCTTTTCACAGACCATTATTATTATTAACATCATCATCATCATCATCATTATCACTCTTTAAACACATCTAAGGCCAAGTAAACTGTGTGTATATATAACAAGGTACGAAGTCGTCGCCACGCTCGGTTAGGAAACACGAAGGTTCGAACCAAATCTGCCTCCCACTCTCGCAGACAACAGTAAAATGTTTCTCTTCTTATTCCCTGGACATAGTAGGTAATAATTCCTGTACCGATCTCGAAATAATTTCAGATCCTCCGATATATTACACAGCAGAGTTTGTATTTCATTCGAACATTTCTAGTCGACATAGCGTTGTTAAATGATCTCTGATCTAACTGAAACTTATTTCCTATCCAATTTTAATCTGCTGTGATGAAAACATGTATCTGTTCTTATATCGTTCGTTCTTTGAAATGTTAAATTTGTAGGAAAATATGTGCTGCAGACGTAAACTGTGGAAGAGATTCAAAGAGTGAGTCATACTGGCTTCTTACAGGAACCTTGTTCAGTTAGTGCAATTCTATGGCAATGTACGTATAATTTCCACTGTCAAGAAGCCTCGAATAGGAAGTAGGATTTGATGTTGAGTAAATACCAGGAAAGTTTTCCTTCATTTATCTCAAACAGTAAACAAATTCATATCAGCACAGTCTGTGTTTCTAAACGTCTTTGCTCGTGCTTAGCATCAAAACTGTTAAATCTCCTTCCACACAGTGTCGTTCGCTAGTTCTTTTCTCCAGTAGTTTAAGGGCACAAGTTTGGGAAACTGTTTCTTGCAACTAAAATAACTCATCTGTTATCGTTTATTACCTAAAAAGTACATTTACAGTGACGTGATGGGTAATTCTGCTGTTATGCAGTTAGATTGTTTTTTAACCAAGAACGACCTTCCACTTCTAATTCTGGGAAACAATGGCTCACGTAATAAGTAATCGGCTGACCTCCAATTAGTATCACGGTATTCTTTCGACCAGGATTTCTTACAGAAGCACGGATTTTTATTGAAAGACAGAACATCGGCGTTCGTCGGTACATTGAAATCAAGTTCTTTTCTACACAATAAGTAATTATTTTCCAAGTGTGGAAACAGCAGTCACGTCGTGTTCGGCCTTATCTCTGCTATATCAACAACCGCACAGGCTATATGGTGTCGACTGACGCGGAAAGGCGAAAGGTAACAACTCCTTTCACATTCGAATCTTCTCCACATATGCAGCTGAAATACAGTCGTCAGTATTCAAACAAGGCAGTGAAACGTGCAAATGCTTGTCAACTGTGATCTCTCTGCCCCCTAGTTCTTTGATATAACCAGTAACCCTTCAGATGCAGATATTTTCAGCAGAAAGATGTTCTTTTGTTTGACATTTTTGTGGGGATTCATAAATTCTATTTGTGGAATTCTGTATACAAGGTTCATAGAATTGTATTTTCAACTGATATCTTACACCAAAAACACACTGAGAAAATATTCCCCCTTCAAAATAACAGCTGCGCTTATAACATCAGTTCTAAAATGCCACCAAGAGGAAATTTCTCGAATTACTTGAATTTTGAAGTAAACAAAATTTAAGGCAAAAACTTCGCACCTCACAGCGGCAGCACGGTGTAAAACGAGTCTTCGATCGCGAGGACATCAACCAAGTCGGGGTCCACTCGTAGCCATTTATAAACTGATACTAAATTTCATATTTCCAAGACAAAATTAGGACAACAAATGTAAATTGTGAGGGACGTATGAGTAAACTGAACTCTTTTCTTTTCCTTTATATGGTTTTATACAGTACACAACACTCTTCTTCCGTTAAATAACACAGGCAAGATAAAATTTACGTCACATTTCCATAAAAAAATCCTTCCCTGCAGGCACAATCTTACAACGTAAGCGCACTCTGATTGCGACCTTGAGAGTCCTTGTTCCGCCATGTTGATGATCGTCGTGTTCTATTGCATGAGACCAGTTTACTAGAGGCCAGTGTTGCAGTGGCCGTGGTAACAGGATGGTTGTGGCGTCGCTTTGCTCAAGGTTTAGTGAACAACAAAGCATCATACAAACTTTCAACAGGTGAGCCTCGATAATTTTGTTCCAAACGTAGAATTTTAACATATGTTATCCAAAGAATAACAAATTGTTTCTGGAGTCCCAATGAAAGGTTGACCAAAATACGCAAATATACAATGAGTTCATACATCGACTTCGTATACTAATTGCTTTTGTACATTTACTAAGCGAATTTCATTCAAATTTTATTTTTAAACTTCTGTACTAAGAAGCTGTGGATATAATTTAATTTTGAACGGTTGTTGGGCCGAATTATATCTTGAGATGTCTACTCTATCAGTTTTTAATGTCGAATTTTATCCTGAGATTTCTGTTCCATAGAGGGGCCTGTAATGTAAGTTGTGGGGGCGAATTTCATTTTTAGGTTTTCGTACCATAAAGGTGTCTATACTATATGACGTGAGGGAGAGTTTAATTTTGAGGTTTGTGTTCTATAAACTGTGGGCGATATTATACATTTATAGATCCGATTAATTTGTATAAGTATAGCAAGAAATATTGTTCCATGTCATGTACAGGCGTATAGACTAAATACAAAGGAAAACAATGCAATTAGGTACACGAAAAATTATTTGTTCCAGCAACAAATTATAAATGATGATCAGTGGCAAGATTTCAAAGAAAGGGTTTGGAAAATATGTACTCCAAGATGAAGTAACTTATCCCTTGTAGTGCTATAAAAATGCATGACTGAATTTTATCGGACACGTATTTGTGTGATTGGAAGTTCGTGTAGGAAACGTTTACCGAGGCCAAATTTGAATTCAGAATAATTTGTATGTGGACGATGCGAGATATATAAAGATTTCCAATATTTGAACCTCTGCAAGACATGTACATTATCATATTTTTAGTGGAAACAGAAACACCTAGTACGACTGTGGAAAAACTTTGGTAGCAGCTTATACCTGGTTACACAGCTGATTGATGCACTTGGGGATTGCAGAGTTTGTAGTTAATACCTTCCCAGTCTATCAGTCTTTATTGCTGATTATGCAAAACACTTTACAAAACTACTGATACGCTTTCAATGAGAATATAAACCGACTACAGCAGTGATTCCCGAACTGTATTCCACGAAACGCATGAGTTCAGTCGTGGCTTCCAAGCACTGAACTAACTAAACCTGCAATACGTTAACCGCACATTAACCGCTTCATCACTAATACATACTACGTCACTGATACCGAATTACCACAGAAATTTTGTTTATTCTGACCGGACCCCAACACAATTTCATTCCTTCGAGAAAAAGTCGTTTTTGATATGCTTATAGTACCTCAGCTGGTTAAGAAATTCATTGCATTTTATACAACTTGTAGGTTAAAAACCGTGCTCACAAGAACCCACTATAGCCAGTCGAATACAGTCCCACGTTTCTTCAAGATCCATCAATGCTTTGGTTTCCCAAATAGCCTCTTCCCTTCAGATTTTCTGACTAAAATTTCGTTGGGTACATTTCTTCTCTCCCCCAAGCATCTTTACACATTTACCACACGTTGCATAATCCTTGATTTTATTACCCTCTCAAAGTTTGTCGTCACTTAATTTAAAATACTGTCACTATTATCAAGAAACTTTGTTGAAAGATTAATCACAGTTTTAGTTTCTTGACCTGATTTCTAGCACAAATAACTAGAGAACCCTGTAATAGTTGTAACAGTGATTGCTAAATGAAGGTCACTTCTTACTCGCGTACCTTCAGTGGGCCGATCGCTATTCTATTCCCATTCTCATATTATTGACTGAATACATTGATTTTCATGTATATGATTAAGGTTATGGCTCGTTATTCAGTAGGAATAAACGTGTTTAAAATATTCAGTATCAACTTGCAATCATGCTCAGACTGGCTCAGGAAATTACTTAGAAAGTGCAACCACCAGACCGAGAAGAACTATCTGTAAAAACATGGCCGATCAAGGGATATGAATGAAGGACTGTTAGATTAGTTTCCACAGTGAACAACTTGTCTTGAATTCCACGTTATCATAGGACTGAAGTTTGTGGTGTCTAGTGACTTGGTACGACCTCATACCCTGGATTTGATTCTCAACAGCGAAAAGTAACTTAAAATGAGAATTTCTAAGAATAAAGCGTGATATTATATGTCCTTCAAATGCTTGAAGAAGGCCAACACGAATAGTACATTAATAATTACGAAATTAAAATTCCAAGCATTATTAGTTTAGTGCTTACGATAAAGTATCCAGATATAAGCTGAAAATTTCGCAGTTCTCAACATAAATGTTTCGAACCAGATTTATATGCACGTTATTTCACTCTGTTCAATCCTGAGTTCACTGCTTCATTACTAACCACACCACACACCAAGCTGAAACCTAAATATAGATTTCTTACGGCTGTATTGTCCAAACAAGAGTTGCGTGTTTTCCGAAAATAACAGTATCATTAAGTGTTCTCACACCTCAAAATTGAGAACGGTGGCCATTTTGACAACACTCACGATAAGAAATTAAAGATACGTAATGGGATAGGAGTTGAAGGAGACTGGATTTTGTTGGCCCAGGACAGGGTCCGGTGGAGGGCTTTGGTTAATTCGGTGATGAACCTTCGGGTTCGGTAAGCAATCTGGTTGGTGGGGTCCACTATTTGGGAAGCCTGAGGGGAAGAGACCTCTTGTGAGATCTAGACGTAGATGGGAGGATAATCTCAGGCGGGATCTATGGGAGATAGGAGTTGAAGGAGACTGGATTTTGTTGGCCCAGGACAGGGTCCGGTGGAGGGCTTTGGTTAATTCGGTGATGAACCTTCGGGTTCGGTAAACTATCTAGTTAGTTAGTTAGTTAATGGGATGAGACATCCAACAGAGTGATATTTATATCAAGGGTCATGATATTCCATAAATTAGTCCATAAGTTGTTAGGAAGGAAAAAGCACGTACACACACACGGAAATGATAAAACCATGAGTTCATCGTTTCAGGGAATAACGTATGTGGGAAACATATCAAAGAACAAAGCGGTCTGAAAATTATATCAGACCAGACAGTAGCGTTATATCGGCGTGAATCAGCCTTCTGGAATTAGTGTTAACTTTCTCCACACCGTTTGTCCGAAGGATGTGCGCCAACTGAAGCCGAGGACTGAGGTTTATAATTCAATAAGATGTAAGCGTTGGTTGTTTCACTGTGGCAACTCTACCCCAACTATAATGCCAGCCCACGAAAGCTGGGGGACCCTAGTGGTTTCTTTTCAGGAGATAAAAATAAGCTAATATACTTGGATACTGCGGAATATTTAGGGGCGTGACAGGGTGTACTCTCCACTCGGAGAGGAGTCTTTGGACGTGACAGTTTTATCTGCTGAAATAATCCCCTACCAAGTTCCAATGTCTAACAGACTCAGTGGGTGTGGGAAAGGTCCTGTATAATCTAAAGATTAAAAGCTGAAATAATGTTTGTGTTATATGTCAGAGTAAATTTCAGTGCAATGGCACTGTTTAATTTTCTTTTAAATTATGGCAGGAACATCAAGAGAATGCTTGAGATACTTAGATTCATATCGGACAATAATATTAATCTGGTTTCCAGAGAAATATGGTGTGAAGATGTCGAGTGGATTCAAGAAAGGTCCAACAACGGGTTTTTACCAGTACGATAATGAACCTTGAGGATCTACAAAGGCAGAGAATTTCTTTACAAACTAACATCTAAACAATTTTTTGGAAAAACCCATTAAGGTCGTTAAGTTGGTTAATTGTATTTGTTGATGACTGCACTGATGTCTGCAGGATCCTGCTACTTGTTTCTACGTTTTATTTTACGAATCTTTCTGAACTATACCGTCGAGTAACGACTGATGTTTGTCGAATGATTATCGCGGATTACGAATGTTAAGGGATTCGGTAAGTACAGGTTAAGATGGGACCGGTAGTTGAAATTGGGAATGCGAAGCTCTCTACAAGAAAGAGAAGAAACAGTGAGGATGAGGACAAGAGACGTCATGTTTCGCATGTTCCACTAATATAGCAATGAGAAAAAAGTGTTAAGATTCCTAAGAAGTATATCCTAATGATTTAATACTAACAGCAATTCAACCTTACCCTGTCAGTGTTCGTATCATTGGTTCTTAAGTAATCATATAACTTTTTTGTATCTGGATTCGGTTTTAAGCGAGCTTTTGATGCGGATGCCTTGTAATATGTACGAAGTTTCAGTCTTAATGTGGGTAAGTTTACGGTGTACAGGAAACAATTAAGCCCACGATTGTAATCAAACTCTGAAACACCTGGTTGCAACGGGCATTTAACTATACATTACAGCAGCTGGTGGCCGCATTTGGGAATTCGGCGGTTTATGTAATCATAGTGTAAATGTTCACACTCAATTTTTTCTCTTCCATCCTTCCTCTCTACCTCTCTTTCACCTTATCTTCCTGACTTTTCTGTCCCTTGCTGTGTCTTTCTCGCCGGTGTCATAAGCACACTTGAAGACTTTCGTTCTTATCTTAAACCTTTCGCAGGAAACCATATGATCGTCATTGTGGATTCTGACGTCACAGCGCTACCATGGTGAGGCACTGTGTCATGATTCTCGTGACGAATAAATATGTTGCTCATAAAGCAGGCGCAATTACTGCTTACTACTCGTGCAAACACAGCGATGTAACATCGCTGACAAGTGTCATTGTATCAGCTGCACGACGATCAGTGGACAGGAAGTTACCTGGCTTGCACGCTGTTTCAGGAACTATGCATGCTAAATACTAAGATACTACGGACAGCATTTTTTAAAAAAAAAAAAAGACCAACTGACTTGTTTTATATGAACGTGACATGTCATCTTATTTTTGTGGAGAGAAAAAACTGACGGGTTTTGAAATCAGAGTGCGGAAGAACAAAATCGGACTTAACGAAAGGGGAACAAAGGGTAGACGATGAAATTGCGTAAAGAGGAGCTTCGCTATTTGTATTCTTCGCTTACGTGATGAAATCACAAAGGATGAAATGGGCACGACACATAGTACATCCGAACCGCAAACAAAGTTTTGAATAGGGAAGCCCTGCCCATCTGTCCTTCCACATGCTTCGCCTTTCGAGCCATCCAGCCGACTTTGATTTAATTCATCCTTTTGGATTGTGTTACGTATCGGTCCACTGTTAAGACCGGGCATACATCAAAACTGCCCCTGATACCACCACCAAGAGATCTTGGGGTCGCAGTTACAGAACACATTTTTTTTCTTTTTACTAGAGCAACTCGCTCCTTTCGGAGCGCTTTCTCTAAAATAAAAAAACCCATCATAAAGTCAGTTTTCGTAATCGTAATATATCGAATGAGTAGTATGACGTGAATGAGTAGTATCAGTTCACCTTGTTGGTGTTGGTACTTCAAATAGTTGATAACGTCTTTAACTTTTCTTCGTTTCTTAAATAGTTCTGATGTTTTAGTTCTTTACGTCGCAGTAAAATCTTCATTTTCAAGAATGCGATGTGTTGCATCTGGAGCAGTGATCAAGCGACTGTCTTGGTAGTTGTTGATCTCGTCGTTGTGAAACGTCATTTTTTTACTCGGAATTGTTGTGTTGGTATACCAACACAACAATGCCGAGTAAACAAATTACGTAGCAATGTTTGATGACGTCATTGTTTGGTCTTCTGTTCGTGTTGAATAAGTTTATCTACATCTGTTGTTAATATGGTCTCGCTTATCAATGTAAGTCTTCTTTCGCTTTTCTTTATTTGTTAAGTAGGTCTGATGTTTTAGTAGGCACAGTCAGCCGCCTGCCGAATCCTACCTATTTTCTTTACCGATATTTATCGCTGTACGCGAGAAAGGTAAACGAGGACAGTACATGGTTTCTACTTCCTGATGGTTGTTCACCTCTGCCAATTATTGTTGTGTAAGCCAAACGCGGACTGAAAGTTGTGTGGCTGCTTGCAGGCTGTGCCAAAATATTGATACTACAGCAAATTTAAAAAGTGAAATTTTTCTGCTCCTATGCATAAAAGCGAAGTGAAAAATTCACCACCGGAAATTTAGCAGATCCAAAAGATTAAGAAGATATATGGATAATACTAAGATAAATCTTAGTGACACTTAGTGAGGATAGCAAGTGGTGCTATTAGTTAATAACTGTGACAATAATCTCAAAGCTTTTCAGCCTTGCATATTTATAATGTAGAATAAAACAGCTATTCATTAAAAGACAACTCTGTAGACGTGTATGACTGTTTAAATACGAAGTTTGACACGCCTGACTTCGCCGATTCATTACTTATCACTATTAAACGAAAAAGTAAAAATTAATTTCGTAAGTCTGCAATGTTTTCATTGCCTAAAAATCGACATGAGAAATTTTTCACATATTAGTGTCACCTCCACCTCAAAAGTTCGCACAACAGCCGTATTATCACAGACAGGCTATAGTTTATAAAGTATGAAGATGGGGTGCCCTCCAGTAGCGTGATGATCATACCAAGATTCTAGAAAATCCTTCAGACTGGTTCAAAAGTTAATATCTGGGACATCATACGGAGGTGAAACTATAACGCTAATTTCCCTTCGGTAATAAATTTGTATGATGTGAACTACGCCGTGATCTTTCCAGCACTAGAATAGATTTGCCTCAGGAGTTGTTACTTCAGTGGCTCCAACTGTACAAAGGCAGGTTTATTTTCTCACATTGGGCTGTAATTATGTTTCTTCTGAAAGATGGTAGAAAAGTAGAAAGCAGTGTACTCGTTCGGGCATTTTTTTTTTCCAGTTTGCTTTGTTAGAAATGTGGAACAGGCCTCTTTAAAGAACAAGGTGATCGCAACTTTGCGGAGCTTCTCTTAAGTCGTTCGGTTCGTCTTCTCGTGTAACATTTCGGAAACGGCTAAACTTATTTTCGTAAAATGTTATATTGGTAAGTTCAATAAAAGTTATCCACCAATTTCACTGTCATTTACATGGAAGACTGTTCCGATCACTTTACATAAGAGAATGTTCTTCATGTTTGGTTATTTCTTTTCGTAGACGTGACGCGTTGCGTTATCTTGAGTTAGGTAGGAGCCCAATTTTCATTTAGGAACTCATGTTACCATGACGACATCTTACCAAGTGTTTTCGCTTATGATATGTACAGGAGCTCGCTCGTCCGTCCAGTCTGCTTATGAGCATAAAATTTAGCACCCACGAGTCAGCGAACGCTCCAGAATTGTTACGCTGTGCGCACATTTCCTAACTTATATTTTTTGATCTCTACTCGTTAAATGTTATAGCCTTCCCCGTTGTTGCCTGAATGTTACACGTGTTCAGTCCAGTACGTTTAAGAATTTGTAAGCAGTAAATATTAAGAAATGTTCTATGGATATAAGAGTGCGAAATTTGTTCCATATTTCTTCTGTTACAGATAGACACACGTCCATCCTGTGTAAGATATTAAACCAAAGAACATGTGGAAGTTATGGACGGCTGGGAGACTGCGTGTCTGTGTGGCGGTGCTTCTGTTCGTAACACTTGGTGGTGGTACATTACCAGAACTGGAATGCCCAGAAGACTGTGACTGCCATTATTTCCGAATCAACTGGGTGACGGACTGTTCAGAGAGCAACTTCACAGAGATTCCTCACGAAGGACTCAGTCAGAACGTCTACATCCTTAATATGAACAGCAATAATGTCACAGCGGTGCAGCCTTTCCCTGAAGACATCAAGTTGAGGCGTCTGCAGCTAGCAGACAACTTGCTGACTACGCTCAGTAAGGACTCGTTCGCAGGCCTCGCGTATCTACTAGATGCTGACTTTTCAGGGAACCAAATCACCCACGTAGACACAGACGCTTTCAGGTTGGTTATGTCTGAACGCTATACCATGACCTTTCTTACACAATGTAGACTCTGAGGAGCAAGTTCAGAACTGTTAGAATTTTTCGAAGTTCGAACTAATTTTCCCCAGAAAATGGGACTACTGATATGAATAACCCCCTACGTCTATCTTTATAAATTTATAATAATAATCCAAACTGCGAGCATGGATTCGAACCCGCGATATTAGTCTGTGGGCGATTAAGGTCACCAAGCTTCATTTAAACTTCACGACCAATGGTATCAAACCTGTTATTTCCCTGCAGCTTCAAATAGGACGCAATTAAAATATTTCGCTTCGTAAGTGGAATAACCTTGCACACGAGACGAGCAAAACTTGTTTTCTCAATAAGCTTACAGCAACGGAAAGAAGACTCTTTCAGCATAACTGTTTAAGTCAGAACGACTGAAGTAATCAGTGGAAAGCGTAACAAATTGCTAGATAAATAGCAGTTATAGTTAATGCAGATATTATTTCTTTACAAAGAGAAAAATAAATATGGTGGTGAAGGACATTCTATCCATACAATGGCAGACGTCATCTGTGACCAAGCGACAAAGATTTTTAATTGCAAATGACGGCTTGTGGTTGAATAACGAGTACTTCTGGTTGGTTTGTTCTCCTTCCACGCTTTATTTTACTAAAGAGAGAAACCTTATATTCGTAAACCGGTAAACTTGGATGATCACGTAACTATAATTTTTAATGTTAAAAAACCACAGATAGTTTATATTTAACCTTTGACATATGGTAGAGAAATTTCTTGAAACATCAAATAAATTAAAAGCTTAAGAATCATTCTCTTCAGGCGAGATGTTTCGTGTGTAGCCGGGAAAGCGTTAACGTCATTTAAACCGTCGCATTCCTGAAGCAATGGCGATGGGTTGGAAAGAATATGAAAGGAATAAGTCATAACCTCTTTCGACGGTACTGAGGCAAATTATAAACCTAGTTTTATCCTGTGGGTGGCCCGACACTTTAATCAGGTATTACCCAAAAACACGTGATACGTATTTCCGCTTCTGTTAATCATTCAGTTCATCCTTCCTTGCCGCTTTATTTAATGACGCACTTTTAAACTGCATTGGTTATGGTAATTACGGCCTCTTTCAGAGTTATGAATTATAGCGGATGCGAGAGGAAAATGTGGTGGCCCATTTGAATATTCTACTATATGATATCCAAACCCGTGGTTTCTCGAATTCAAAGAATCATCGGACATTTGTTTCACTTATAAAACCGATGTTTCAACTTCTTAGGTTAGGCCTATATAACGTTTAATGTGATAAGAACATGATTACGACTGACCATCAGGTAAACATTTGGAAGGAGGCGGTAGTGGGACGTGTTATCCTGGTGAGACTCGTAAGCCT